GATGGCTCTGTAGGTAAGAACACTATTTTATCAATACAATCTAGAATCACCTGTTATGTGCTGTGATATCCCCAGAGTGATAGACTAACAGATGCCTATAAATTGTAAGATGAATGAACTCTTTTTCCCTAAACTGTTTTAGTCAGGGTATATAGTGGTTTGAATGAGAATGATCCCCTAGGCTAGTGAGTTTAAGTGCTTAGTTCCCATATGGTAAAACTGTTTGGGAAAGGTTAGGAGGTATGGCCTTGTTGGAGAAGGCATGCCACTAGGGTCTTCCTTTGAGATTTCAAAAGCCCATGCCAGGCCTAGTCTCAGTCTCTCTCTGCCTAAAACTTGTGATCAGATGTGAGCTCTCAGCTACTGCTGCAGCACCAGGCTGGCCTACCACCATGATAACTGTGGACTAACTCTCTGAAACTGTAAGCAAGCTCCCAATTAAATGCTTTCTCCTATAAGTTGCCTTGGTCAATGTGTTTCATCACAGTAGCTGAACAATAACTAACATAGAAGTTGGTACCAGAAGTGGGATATTTCTGTTATAGACTTGAACATGTTTTGTAGGAGAAATATGGAACCTACTCTTCTTCCAAGTCTTCATTTCCCACTTCCATCTATCCCAATCCCAGCTCCTTCCCAGAAGTCCCTGTTAAGCCAACTTATGACTGGAGTTATAACAATATAAAAAGGATATAAAAAATTTCATATTCCAATATTCCCAAAGCTCAACCACACAAGGTCCTTCCCCAGTGAGTCCCCTTAGGGAGTGGAATTGTGAATGTTCTACTTATTAGTTTTCAAGAAAGGGGTCTTTAAAAAGTTTACACCCCTTCTCAGCCCAATTCCTTGCCAGCTTCATCCCCCATGAGAGGATGCCAGCAGGTATAGAATATCATGATCTGTCCTGGATTCTATGTTGCATGTTTTCTACTTTCTTTCTGAGCTGTTGTTCACTCCCGGGTTTAAAAAAAAAAAAAAGCTTACACTTTTTCTAGATGACCCCTTTGGAGTATCAAACAAATTGGATCAATGATTGGGCCTTCAGGTTAATACCTGGGGTGAATTAATGTCAATCCTGGGTATTCTTTCTCTGGGAAGAAAGGAAGGTGATTAGAATGGCTCTGATAAACATCTGTGAGAGAACCTAGCTGGATCTAGGGTCCTAGCAGTCAACGCTAAATACACCAGTCAGGATCCCTAGTTGGGATAGTAGCAATAGAGTGTCCTGGGAACATACTAGGAATCTGAGGGACCTTATTTTGGGAAATAAGAAAAATCAGTTCCTGATCTCAGAATATTAACAAGGCTCTTAATGCTAAACAAGGGAGAGATGAAGGTCCCCCTGAAATTAAAGGACCAAATGAGAAAAAAACAAACAAACAAAAAAAAAAAACAAAACTCTGGATTAAATCTGGAGGATTCCTTTGGTGACAGGATGTTAAAATTACATTTTGTGACCAACAGTTGGCCAGACATTTCTAAAAAGTCACTAAAGATAGAAAGCTGGAAGAGCAGAGAGCTTACAGAATTGCTTATAGAGGCCCAGAAAGAGCATACTTGAAGGCATGAGAAAAAACAGACACAGAAAGCTATGATCATGCTCTCTTCCATAGACCAAATGCCCCAGAAAGAGGAGCAAGGCTTAGGATCCAAATAATGTCATCATCATGGTTTTCAGGGAATGAGGCCCCAAGGAAGCTTACAGCCAACCAGGAATGGAGAAAGGAGGAGAGGAGAAAAATGTTTCAGTGTGGAAAGGTGGGACATTTTAAGAAAGAATGCCCAAATTTTTTAATGAAGATTTGGAGGCAGGGATCAAAGGCTCTATTTTTCTATGGAGACCTAATGAGAGCCTTTAAAGATAGTTCCTGGAGAGAAAGAAATTAAATTTGTTGATTCGGGAGCATTCCATCCCTCCCTATTTAAACATCTCCCAAGGATGTACCTTTCTCCCAGAAAAACTGGTAATAACCAAAGTGAAGGGAGAATTCTCTCCTCCACTTTTTTTTTTTTTTTTTTTTTTTTTTTGAGTCAGGTTTCTGTGTAGCTTTGGAGCCCATCCTGGAACTAGTTCTGTAGACCTTGAATTCACAGAGATCCACCTGCCTCTGTCTCCTGAGTGCTGGACTTAAAAGCATGCTCCACAACCACCCAGCTTCTCCTCTACTCTTTGTGGGGAAAAAAAAATCAAATTTCAGGAAAGGGAAACAGTAACACAGATTCTTGTTCCAGAAGCAGGAACCAAACTTACTGGGGAGAGATTTGATGCCCAACTCAAGAGCTGGATTTAACATAATTCAGGATGAAGTCAAGATCTCCCTTCAATTTGATAATTTCCTGGGTTGAAAAACAAATCAAACCTAATGTTCGGAACCAGAAAGGAAATCAGTGTGACTTGCAGGGTCCTCCCATCAATCAGCTCTATACAAGTGGTTAAAGGAAGGCACTATCCTATTCCCTTAGAGGGGAAGCTAGGACTTAAGCCTACCATTGAGCTCATGAAAGACAGACTTCTTAAAGCCTGAATGTCCTCCTTCAGTACCCCAGGCAAGAAGTACAATGGTTCATATTGAATAGTCCGATATCTTAGAGCAATTAATCAGATTGTTAAACGTAAACATCCTGTGGTCCCCCACACATACACCCCCTCAGAAAGAACCACCACCATATATTTAAAAGATACATTTTGGGCTATGTGGTGGTGGTGCTCACCTTTAATCCCAGCACTTAGGAGGGAAAGGCAAGAGGATCTCTGTGGGTTCAAAGCCATTCAGGGTTACATAGTGAGTTCCAAGACAGCCAGGGATATAACACCGAAAAACCCTGTCTTGAAAAACAACAACAACAAAAAACACAAAACAAAAAATGTCATTTGGGCTTGCACCCTTGTAACCAATGGCAGAGACCGTTTTGCCTTTGAATGGGAAAACCCCCATCCTTGCAGAAAGCAACAATTATTATTAATGAGCTTCAGTGATTCTTCTGACCTTTTTGGTCAGATACTTGAACAAATTTTGGGGAAATTCAATTTTCTTACTCAGATGTGCCTACTTCAATATGTGGATGATCCTCACTGATCTTCAGGTACTACCACCACCCTACTATTAGCTTCCTTGGCAATCAAGAATTGTGGGCATCAAAAAATACTTAATTTGCAGAAAATGAGGCTAGATACTTGGAGCATCTAGTTAATCAATACCAAAGGTCAGAGCTCAAAAGAACTAGTTGGGACCACATCTAGTCCTGTTCACTCACTCAGCAGAGCGTGGTGCAATACAGATTACCTGCGTGCAACAGTAATGTCCACACAGGCAACTTTATTTCCTAGGATGAATTCCCCCATGTTTACTTTTAATCTTAATATGACTAACAATTATCTTGCTCGCTGGTATTATTTACTTAGTTGGTTTTCTGTTTTCTTTTTGATAGGGTCTCATGTAGCCTAGGTTGGTCTCCAATTTGCTATGTAGCTAAGGACAATCTTGGATTTATCCTCTGGGCTCCATATCTGGAGTGCTGAAATTAAAGGCATGTACCAAAATGCCCAGTTTTTACAGTGCTGGGATCAAATCAAGGATTTTGTTCATAGTAGGCATGCTGAGTCACACCAAATCCCTATAGATTGATATTGATTTTCAGTCCTTTAATTGGCTTCATAAAACCAAAGGAAACTGGGCATAAGAACTCCTCAGCCACTGTGAATACAACACCCATGGCTTATTCATACACTTTCCAGTACAAAAGTACAATATAAATAGACACCATCAAGAGTCTCCCGCTGTCTGCACTGACACTGGGGCTCACAGAATGGTGGGTGCGCTGGCTGCACTCAGGCAACCCTGCTGCCAACTGGTGTCCAACTGTGCTTCACTGAGAAATAGTATATCGAGTTGGAGAAAATCACAGTGTGCTCAACTTCCAAAAAAAAAATAGTCAGATCAGAGCCCACCTGCTTGCAAAGAACCAAGTGGAGGAACCCAACCTCACAGGGGACCCCAGTAGATAGTGGGGGGAAAAAGAATGCAACCCCCCCCTAAAAAAAAAATAAAAAACAGTAAAAAAAAAAAAATTCACACCAGTGTGCTGACAATCTTTCAGAAAAAAAAAACAAAAAAACAAACAAAACAAACAAACAAACAAACAAAAAACAGGAGTTACAGTTAAAACAAAAAGTAAAAGTGGAAATGCTTTTTAGAACATTTTTGAGACATAATCTATGTAGCTCTGGCTGTTGCGAAACCCGAAACTCACAGAGATCTGCTGTCTCTGTGGCTCAAGTGTTTGGAAAACATTTAAAACCAAACAATACAAAACAAGGACAGCACTTCTTTAAAAAAACAAACAAACAAACAAACAAACAAAAACCCCAAAAAATCTCTAGTAATGAGGAGACCTGGGGGCCAGCAATCAGGCTGTCTTGGCAGAAGAGAAAGGAAATCACTTCAAAAGTGGGAACACAAGATTTGTTCACTGTGACTATTCGGTGGAAACCAAAAAATCAAATTACAGCCACCAGAAGAATCTCCAGCAGTTTTACTCTTTGTAGCTGTCCTTGTTGTCACTGTCAGACTGGCCCTAAGCTCTGGTTGACCACAGCTGTCACTGTGTTGATGTCTCTGTAGCCCCCACTCCTTGCCTTACAGTGGCTGCCCCCTAAACCTTCAGTCTCCTCTACACCTAGAGTGCTAGTCCAGTCACTGGCAAAGCCAACTCAGTCCCCAGACCATCCACATACTTGCCATTTGTGGCCATTATCTTGTCCTTAGCATCATCAATATTCTCAAAAGTAACAAACCCAATCTCTTTTATGGTCACCAATGAAGTGCTATGTCATATTTTTAAACCTTCCATCAGCTGCTCATTAGTGTTAAAACTTAGCCCTCTGGTAAAAACCTGAACTTGACCTGATGCTAAGGTAGCCTGCTGTGTTCAGTCAGTCAGGACCCTGGACATGGAGAGTGGGGTGGGTGGAGACAGTAGCCAAATGGGTCCCAGCCTCCTAACATGCAAGTCTGTTAGTAAAAGTATATTTAATTTTCATTATGCCAACCTGTCTAATATAAAAACAAAGTTTCTAGATTGTTTTCCACATTTATCATATTAAAAATGTCTTTCTTGAAAAATCTTTTTGATATGAATTAAATATCTTCCAGATCCATCATTCAATTGTGGTTTCTCCCCAACACGAGTTACATGATGTTGAGTATGGGATGACACTTCACTACCAGCTTTACCACATTCTTGGCATTTATAGGGTTTCTCCCCAGCTTGAATTTTCTGGTATTCCATGGGTTGTGAGGAAGTGCTGAAAGTTTTCCCACATTCATTACATCCCTGGGACTTTTCACCACTTCGAATCGTCCACTGGAGAACAAGTTTTGCACTGTGGCTGAAGGCCCTGCCATGTCTCTCTCCAGTGGATAGATGGCTAGTGTCATAAACAAAATCTGGGCCACACTCAAACTCCTGTGTGTTCTCTCCCATGTGAATTCGTTGATGCTGCGTGAGGGCTGATCTGCGGCTGAAAGCCTTCCCACAGAGACCGCATTCATAAGGTTTCTCTCCAGTGTGGACACGCTGGTGTAGGGTAAGCTGGGAACTCTGGATGAAGGCTTTCCCACACTCAGTGCACTGATAGGGCTTTTCCCCTGTATGCACTCTGCGGTGCTGCATCAGAGTGGAACTGCGGCTAAAGGCTTTGCCACACTCACTGCAAACATAGGGTTTCTCCCCGGTGTGAATCCTTACATGCTCGGTGAGATGAGAGTTGAAGCCAAAGGCTCTTCCACACTCGCTACACACGTAGGGTTTCTCTCCAGTGTGAACCCTGTGGTGAAGAAAAAGGCTGGAGCTCTGGCTGAAGGCTTTCCCACACTGACTGCACTTGTGGGGCTTCTCTCCTGTGTGAATCCTCTGGTGCTGAATAAGGCTTGCATTTCGACTGAAAGCCTTTCCACACCAACTGCATCCATGGGGCTTCTCTCCGGTGTGAATCCTCTGGTGCTGGGTTAACTGAGGACTCTGGCTGAAGGCTTTCCCACATTCATTACACTTGTAAGGTTTCTCTCCTGTGTGTATTATGCGATGCTGAATGAGGCTTGAACTTCTACTGAAGGCCTTCCCACATTCATTACACCCAAAAGGCTTTTCTCCAGTGTGGATTCTCTGATGCAGACGGAGATAAGAATTGAGCCCAAAAGTTTTCCCACATTCATCACACTTAAATGGTTTGTTCCCAGTGTGAATTCGCTGGTGAAGAATAAGATTTGAGCTGTGAGTAAAGGCCCGCCCACATGGACCACATTCATAAGGCTTTTCCCCAGTATGACTTCTGCGATGCCGACTTAGGTCTGAATTATATTTAAATGTTTTATTGCATATGTCACATTTAAAAACTCTCTGTCCTGTTTTATTTCTTTGAATTGTAACAACACTTTGGCTCGAATTCAAGTGTCTATCAAATGCAGGAGGCTGGGCATTTTCTGGAAGCTGTATCCTATATACTGGAGAGTCCTCTCTAGCAACTCTCTTCAAACTCTGAGTAGAACTTTCTTGGCTCCCTTCTCCCTGACCTTCATGGTCCCAAGCTTCCTGAGATTCAGGTGTTTGTGAATTAGCCCTTGGGAATCTCTGTGATATGAATTCTGGTGTTTTTACTTTCGCAGAACATTTCTGATTTAAAATGGATAGCTCCTTATCAGTCTCAATTTCAGAATCTGTTAAACAAAAACCACAAGTAAATTACTAGAGGTAACCCCTACTCAGCAGAAATCACATTTTTTTTTTTTAATGTTTCCATAAGCTATTACAACCCAAGTGTGAAGACACACACCTTTAATCCTGTCACTTGGGAGGCAGAGGCAGATGTACCTTTCTGAGTTCAAGTCTGGCCTGATCTACATAGTGAATTCCAGGACAGACAGAGCTACATAGAAACCTGTCTCAAATAAATAAAAAGAAAGCTATTATGCAAAAGTTAGACAATTCAGTAGAAAAACGTGACAGAATCCAGAAATAAAGGTGGCCAACAAACAGAATGAAGACAACAATATTCATTAGTCACCAAACAAATTGCCAGTGTTAAATTAGCAAATTAATTTATTCAACAAATACAAGGCCAAGCATTTCTAAATAAAGAAAACAACAGGAAGAATAACATAGTCTTCTGGTCTGAGAAATCTCATGTTCAAATCAGGAAGATAGATAATGAAGTGATTGGTTTTTTTGGGTGGGATTTTTGAGTCAAGAGTTTTGCTATGTAGCCTATGATAGCATGAAATTCGTGATCCTGTCACTGAATGCTGGTCTTAAGTCATGTGCCACTATACTTGGGTCAATGAGTACATTTTTAAAAAAGGAATGGATAAATCATGTAACATGGAAATGCATCATGGGCTCCTGCTCAGTCTACATGGTCAGAAAAATCACAGGAGGAAGAGTGTATCTGGGACAATTAAAGGGGCCACTCAGCAGCGGCAGGCCCTGACAAAAATGCTGGAATGTGAGAAAAAAAGGTACTGAGCCCAAGAATGAAAGAGTTCTCACTATGACTACAGCAAGAAGTGGGTGACAGACAGAGCACAGGCAGAGGAGGTGCCACCTACAGGCTGAGAAACCTGAGCTTAAGAACATATTATACATCTTTGGTCCCACATTACTCTTTGAGAATTTATGCAAGGATCAGAAGCCTTCCTCTGGCTTCTGCAAGCATCCCCTGAATGCACTTGTATATACACACACACATAAGCAAAAAGTAAAACAAATCTTTTTTAAGAAAGAATATATCCCATATAGATGTGTGTCAAATGAAGGAGCAAGGCAGTAACTGACATGCTGTTCATAACTGTGGGAAGATGAGAAAGGACACATGTTCAAAACTCAGATGCCTGTCTAAACCCACTTTTACTCATATAACAGATGTCTTTCTACACAGTAATGGAGGAACACATAACTAAAGCAAAGTCTGTGATATGTTATAAAAATGAATAAGTTCCAAAATTTGATACACAAAATAAATCAACTTTTACTGAGAAAAAAAGCACATGAATATTTAGTGTGAACTGATGAAGCCATCTGGGCTTGGTAATTTGTCTGAGGAAAAGTTTTTAATTACTGAGTCGAGACTGAAAACTGGATGCTGTAGTGCTCACATGGAACCCCAGTTCTGGGGAGATGCAGGCAGGAGAGCCAATAGTTCAAGGTCATTCTTGGCTACAAAGCATGTCTGAGCCCACAAGACGTCATACCTCAAAAACCAAAGAGGAGAGCCTACCTGATGGGTAAAGGTGCTTACTCCTATGCCTAAAGCACACATGTGGGAAGGAAAGAAGCAACTGCCTTCCACACATACACTGTGGCACAATCCACCCACTCCTAACATCAAAAGAATACAAAAACCTTAACAAATACGGCAAAAAGACGACGGGAGCAATAAGGAAAAATTCTTGGTGTTTTTGAGATTGGCTCCTCTTGTTTACACAACTCAGCATATTCCCAATTCAAAGTACATTTCCTGCCTCAGTCTCCTGAGGGTGAGATTGTATATACAAATCACTATACTCAGAAAAATAAAGTTAACGTGATGACTTTTCAGTTATTTATTTATAAATAAATGTCTTTCCCCTGCATGTACTCATGCATCACCTTTGTGCTTAGTGTCCTGAGAAGTCAGGAGAGGGTGCAAGATTCCCTGGGATTGGAATTAACTGGTGGTTATGAGCTACCTGAAGTGGGTGCTGGGAATTGAATTTGGGTCCTCTGCAAGAGCAACAAGTGCTCTTAACTGATAAACCATCTCTCCAGACTGCCAGAACAATTTCTAACATTTATTTACTGTGTGTGTAGGTCAAGAAGACAAATTATGAGTCTGTTTTCCTTCAATCATGTGGGCCTTGTGGAACAAACTCAGGTCCTCAGCCTTGACAGCATGTGCTTTTACCTCAGGAACCAAATCTCTTAGGCTTGCAAAACTTTTTTTGAAAACAATAATTTTAAAAAATAGTGCTGCTTTTTGGTTTTTTTGCCACAGGTCCAGGTGGCCAGTTCTGATTGCTGCAATACAAGCATCACATTGGACAATGATGACAACTTCAGTGGTAATGACTGACAGTGGAGGACAAAAACTTGGCTAGGTTACTTAGGAAACATCTCAAAGGAAAGTCGAACTACTGAGATTTTCCCCTTTTGGGGAACAGCCACAGCCAACCATAAACAAGTACCTGAACACTCCGGTACTGATGTAAAACCCTGGGACAGTGGGGTTGGAGTGTGATTCAGACCCTTCCCTCATGGCCCTAAAGACCCCCATTATCTTCCTCATTCATTGTTCTGTCAGATGGAAGCTAATTATCATTGACAGCTAGAGGTGTCCTCCTAACTATAATAACTATAATTCTAACTGACATTATATGAGAAAGGATAAATGACATTTCAATCATTGTTCAGAAAGAAGCTTCAAAAGCAAGTAAGCAAACAAACAAACAAACAACAAAACAGAGCCTGCAGAGTGGGAAAAAAATCTTTCAAAAGTAGGATGGTAGTGGTAACACCTTTAATCCTAGCAGTCAGAAGGCAGAGGCAGATGGATCTCTGTGAGTTTGAGGCCAATCTGGTCTACAGATGGAGTTCTAGGACAGCCAGGGTTGTTACACGGAGAAACCCTATCTTGAAAAAAAAAACTTTAAAACTATACATCAGACATCAGCTTAGTATCTATAATGTATAAACATTGTAAAAATTAAATAATAAAACCTCTGAAACCATCCACATATTAAATGAGTTAACGAACTGAATATAGTTCTTAGAACCAACAGAAATATATCAGTTATGGTGGTCAGATCTGTTATCGTAGCATTAGGAGATGGAGGCAGGAGGATCAAGATTATTCTCAGCTACATGATTTTCATGCCAAACTGAGCAAACACGGAACTCTCTCAAAACAAAATACAACAATAAAAACAAAAGGCAAATACAAATGGCTAATGTTTGAGAAGATGTTCAGCATCCTCAGTCAACAGTGAAATGTAAACTGAATGTGCTCTGAAATCTCATCTCACTCCAGAATGATTATCATCAGGAAAACAAATAAATAATGCTGGTGAGAATTCAGAGAGAGAGCAACCCTTATACATTATTGAGGGGAATACATAAATTGGTAGATTAGTATAGAAATCAGTACAGAGCCTTCTCAAAAATACTAAGTATCTCTTTAAGTATGAGCAAGTTCTACAATAGCCAGCACTAAATAGACTGTCTCAAAATACTAAACAAAGCCATCAAAAATAGATTTACCACAAGTCTCAGCTATACCACTCTTGATCATATTCACAGTATTGTCACAGTATTCTCAAAAGCTAGGAAATGGAACCAGACAAGATCCAACAGATAAATGGATAAAGAAAATGAGATACATATACACAATGGAATTTAATTTAGCTGTAAGGAAAATGGATGTAACTAGAAATTATTGTGTTTACTAAAATAAGCCAGACACATGGTGGCTCTGTGTGATGCATACACACAAATACAGATAAAACATTAACACAAATAAAATAAATGTAAAGAAATTTACTGAATAGATTTGGGGGAATATTATATGATTATCACATACATGAGCCTATTCACTGTTTTTTCCAATCTCACCCTGTCTTAGGGCATGTATCTGAAGCATGGATTTTTTTTCTGTTAACATTTCAGCCTTTTAAGCTTCTAGAAGAGTGAGGTTGTTGGAGATGTTAAACCCATCTTGGGTCAAGAATCCCAGAGTGGTATTTAGCTCTTATGTCAAGTTACTTGCTTCCTAAAAGATGACATCACAATTCCCTTAACTTGAAGTTTAAGTTGTGATCGGTCCCTTTGTCTCATCCTATTCACAACTGAGAGGTTGGTTAAGATGTGATCTTGCAAGGGCTGGAAAGATGGCTCAGCAGTTAACAGCACTGGCTGCTCTTCCAGATGTCCTGAGTTCAATTCCCAGTAACAACATGGTGGCTCACAACCATCTATAGAGTAATCTGATGCCCTCTTCTGGCATACAGTCATATATGCAGACAGAGCACTCATAGCATGAAAAGAAAAAGAAAAAGAAAAAACAGGAAAAAAGATGCAGGAATTAATACATCACTGGGGGCAAGTATTGTACTTTCAAAGCCTCAATATCATTCATAGTTTGTGCTTCTGCTTAGTTCTTAGGCATAAGATGTGAGCCTCATACACCTATTGCTGTTCTTGTCACTTGATGCCATGTCTTCCTGCCATGATGGACTCATCCCTTGGAAACTTTAAGTCCAAACAAACCCTTCTTTCTATAAATTGCCTTGGTCATGGTGTTTATCACATTAATAGAAAATTAAGTAATACGGACTCTCAGGCCCCATAAGCAAGTGATACTAAGTAACTTGGTACTGGTAACTAATAATTTTTTAGGAAGTAATAAGAGATGGCTCAGCAGTTAAAAACACTGGCTGCTCTTCCAAAGAACCCAGGTTCAATTCCCAGTACCCACATGGCAGCTCATAAAACTGTAACTCCAGTCCCAGGGGAGCTGACATCCTCACACAAACATATATGTAGGTAAGATACCAGTGCACATAAAATAAAAATACATTTAAAAAATATAACTATTACTTAAGCCTACATTAAGAACATTCTTTGTGTCAGGAAGTGGTGGCATATATGCCTTTAATTCCAACACTTGGGAAGCAGAGTCAGGGGACTT